CTATGCCCAAAGGGCTATAAAAATGTGCATACCCTTTGACCCAGCAATAGCACTTCTAGGGCTGTATCCCAAAGAGATCATACAGATGGGAAAAGGACCCACACATACAAAAATATCTATAGCAGCTCTTTTTGTGGTGGCAAAGAATTGGAAATTAAGGGTATGCCCATCAGCTGGGGAATGGCTCAACAAGTTGTGGTATGTGAATGGAATACTGGAATTGTGTTATATAAGAAATGATGAACAAGCAGACTTAAGAAAAACCTAGAAAGACTTCAATGAACTGATGCTAAGTGAAGTGAGCAGAACCAGGAGAACATTGTACACAGTGACAGCCACAATGTGTGATGACTAACTTTGATAGACTCATCTCCTCTCAACAATGCAAGGATCCAAGACAACTCCAAAGAACTCATGATGGAAAATGCTGTCCACATCCAAAAAATATCTATGGAGTCTAAAGGCAGAACAAAGCACATTATTTGATCTCTCTTTTTTTTCTCCTTTTTGTTTCTTCTTCCTCATGGTTTCTCCCATTGGTTCTAATTCTTCTTTACAACATGACTAATGTGAAAATAGGTTCAATATGAATGTATATGTAGAGCCTATATCAGATTGCATACTGTCTTGGGGTGGGGGGAGGGAAGAAATGGAGAGAAAATTTGGAACTCAAAATCTCGAGGAAGTGAAAGTTTAAAACTAAAAAAAAAATAATTTTTTTTAAAAAAGGAAAAATATAAATGTTGTTATTGTTACCTTATTCTCATCTTTTTTGATGGTGTTTAAGTAGAAAGTACCCAACCACAGGTTCCTATCCTATCATTATTCTTTTCTATTTAATGATCTTCGGGCTATTACATATGTGGATAAAATGACTACCTTTTTGTAACTGAATAAGAGTACAAGGATATAAGGTAATCTTCTGTAGACTCCCTGAAAACATCTTTGAGTCAACCATAGGAGCAAAGGTTTTGATTTTTTTTCCTGCTGCATCTCTATATTTTGAAAGCTTTCCATTCCATTCATTTAGGCAATTGTGAATATATATCCAAATATAATATAATAAATTCAAACTCAAAGCCTTCAGTCTATTCTCTCTTGGAACATATTAAGAATTTTGCATTTATCAAGTCAAAACAATTTTGATGGTACTGGAGAAGTATACTATGGAAAGGTAACTTGATGATTTCCATGTACGTTAAGTGAATAATAGGATGTTTTAAGACAACTCCTTCTTTGACTTGAAACTGTAAAATGAGCAGGAGAAGGAAATGGCAATCACTGTGTGACCCAAAAGGAGTCACAAAGAGGTCTAACACAACTAAAACTGACTGAACAACAACAAAAAGGGCAGATAAAGTCATTTACTATAGCTTCACATTGTTTTTCTCTATCATTATTCAGTTTGGTATTACTTTTAGGTTTTTGCTGGGGTAGGTATGTGGGAGCTGGGCTGCTGGCCTCCATTCAGGTAGCCATCTTGACTGGAGGTCCACAGGTGAAATCTGAACCTAGATCCTTTCATTCTAGATCAAGTATTCTTTCTACCCTACAATATTGTTGTTCAGTCATTTTAGTAATGTGCAATTCCTCCCAATCCCGTTGGGTTTTCTTGGCAAAGATACTGGAGTGGTTTGCCATTTCCTTCTCCAGCTCATTTGACAGATGAGGAAACTAAGGCAAACAGTGTTAAAAGACTTGCCCAGGATCACACAGTTAGTAGGTGTCTGAGGCCAGATTTGAACTCAGGAAGCTAAGTCTTCCTGATTCTTGGCCCGATGCTCTATCCATTGCAGCACAGATAGTGATGTCAAATTTGCCAGAAGAAGAGGCAGTGTGATAGGGAAGAAAACCTACTAGACCAGAAGTCAGAATACTTGAGTTTTAATTATAGCTCTACCACCAGCTGGTTGTGTGATTATAAGGAAGAAACTTCTCTAGTTCTCAGCTTCTGCATCTCTAAAATGAGGGAATTGGGCTAGGTGTTCCATGATGTTCTTTCCAGTAGTGGATTTCATAGATAGGAATGGGAATGCTGTTTCCCTTTCAATTCCACTTCCCTAACCATTATATGGGAAAGCCTCACAAGCATTAGAAACCAGCCCAGCTCAAGAGAACCCCTGTGGATGTATTAATTCACTTGAAAAAAAAAATACAGTCATTCCATTAAAATGAAATAAATTTAACTCTGAGATAGCTCAAGAAAACAGCTGGTTGCCAAGTCCTTATACAAGAATAATACCAGTATCTCCTCCTTCATCACTACTTTTTTTTATTAATTTATTTTGATTTATCAACAATCACTTCCATAAGCTCCTGAGCTTCAAATTTTTCTCCCCTTCCTTCCCCAAGACAGCACACAATCTGATATAGGCTATACATATACATTCCTATTAAACATATTTTCACATTAGTCATGTAGTAAGGAAGAATTCGAACCAATAGCAGGAACCATAAGAAAGAGAAAACAAAACAAAACAGAAGAAAAAAAGCATAGCAAATAGTATGCTTCGATCTGCATTCAAACTCCATAGTTCTTTCTTTGGTTGTGGATAGCATTTTCCATCATGAGACCTTTGGAGATGTCTTAGATCCTTGCATTGAGGAGAAGGGCTAAGTCTATCAACTTTAGTCCTTGCACAATGTGCCTGTTACTGTGTACAAAGTTTTCCTGGTTCTGCTCACTTCACTCAGCATCAGTCCATACAAGTCTTTCCAGGTTTTTCTGAAGTTTTCTTGTTCATCATTTCTTATAACACAATTGTATTCCATTACATTCACATACCACAACTTGTTGAGCCATTCCCCAGCTGATGGGCATACCCTTAATTTCCAATTCTTTGCCACCACAAAAAGAGCTGCTATAAATATTTTTGTACATGTAAGTCCTTTTCCCATCTGTATGATCTCTTTGGCATACAGCCCTAGAAGTGCTATTGCTAGGTCAAAGGGTATACACATTTTTATTAGCCCTTTGGGCATAGTTTCAAATTGCTCTCCAGAATGGTTGGATCATTTCACAACTCCACCAACAATGCATTAGTGTTCCAATTTTCCCACATCTTCACCAGCATTTATTATTTTCCTGTTTTGTCATGTTAGCCAATCTGATAGGTGTGATATGGTACCTTAGAGTTGTTTTGATTTGCATTTCTCTAATCAATAGTGATTTAGAGCATTTTTTTTCATATGACTATAGAAGGCTTTAATTTCTTCCTCTGAAAACTGCCTGTTCATATCCTTTGACCATTTATCAATTGGGGAATGACTTGTATTCTTATAAATTTGACCTAATTCTCTATATATTTTAGAAATGAGGCCCTTATTAGAGACACTGGTTGTAAAAATTCTTTCCCAGTTTTCTACTTCCCTCCTAATCTTAGTTGCATTGGCTTTGTTTGTGCAAAAACTTTCCAGTTTAATGTAATCAAAATTATCCTTTTTGCATTTCATAATGTTCTCTCTCTCCTGTTTGGTCATGAATTCTTCTGTTCTCCATAAATCTGACAGGTAAACTATTCCTTGCTCTCCCAGTTTGTTTACAGTATCAGCCTTTATATCTAAATCATGAACCCATTTTGACTTTATTTTGGTATATGGTGTGAGATTTTGGTCTATGCCTAGTTTCTGCCATGCTTTTTTCCAGTTTTCCCAGCAGTTTTTGTCAAATAGTGAGTTCTTATCCCAGAAACTCTGGGGTCTTTGGGTTTATCAAATAGTAGATTACTATAGTCATTGACTACTATGTCTTGCATGCCTAACACTGATCCACCACTCTATTTCTTAGCCAGTACCAAGTAGTTTTGATGATTGCTGCTTTATAATACGATTTAAGATCTGGAACAGCTAGGCCACCATTACTACTTTTGATTCTAGATCTTCTTTTTCTTTGTTAAAGTCTTCCAGGACTATATCAGAATACCAGGGAAGGGACAATTCAGGGAAGACACTTGAGCAAAGTGTCAGGAGATAGGGCAGAAATGAGGCTGCTAAAGTGGAGGACATGCATGTCATGATGTTGTTAAATCATTTCAGTTGTGTTTGACTCTTTGTGACCCCATTTGGGATTTTGTTGGCAAAGATACTAGAGTGGTTTGCCATTTCCTTCTCCAGCTCATTTTACAGATGAGGAAACTGAGGCAAACAGGGTTAAATGACTTGCCCAGGGTCACACAGCTAATAGGTCTCTGAGGCCAGATTTGAACTCAGGTCTTCCTAATTCCAAGCCTAGTACTCTATCCACTGCACCACCTAGCTGCCCTAGGTGTTATAATACCCTTGATTAAAGTCCTGTTGATTTTCCCTGACCTTCATGGTAGTTGGAGAGTTACATTGATATGTTGTAAAACAACAACAACAAATAGGTTTACAAAAGGGAAGAGAACATCAAAAACAACTTGAGAGTAAAAACTCAGAACCTCACATTTGAATAGTAAATAGCACTCAAAGTTTATTTTTTTGCACCTTATATTTTTAAATTTTAGTCTAGGTAGTTTTCCACCCAAGTCCTTTTCTGATGCTTCATTGTGGTATGAAGGCAACCCTGAATTGACACTGGTCAGGTTTCATTCAAGTACAGTCCAGGTTATAGCCTATATATCTGTGACCTACACATGTAAGGAGGGGCTGTAATCTGATTTGTTGAGGGGTACACTCCTACCAGGCAGTGAGGAGGTACAATAGGTGGAGTACTGGACTTGGAATCAGGAAGACCTGAGTTCAAAACCTGCCTCGGACATATATTAGCTGTGTGATCCTGGACCACTCACTTAGTCTCTCAGACTCATCTGTACAAAGGGCATAACAATAGTACCCATTTCATAAAGTTGTTGTGAAGATAAATGAGATGATGTGGAAAGTGCTTTGCAAACTTTAAAGAGTAACATAATGCTAGCTATTATTATTAACTTATTAGACCATATATCCTTGAATTATTTAAATGCTGAGAGTGATGATTCCAAAGGACCTAATTTTTTTTTTATATCTTCATTTTCTACCAGGCCCTGGGAAACCATGAATTTGATAATGGAGTGGAGGGACTGTTGAATCCATTACTTAAGGAAGTCAAGTTTTCAGTTCTCAGTGCTAACATTAAAGCCCAGGAACCACTTGCATCTCAAATATCTGGATATTATCTTCCATATGAAATTCTAAACTTTGGTCAAGAGAAAGTGGGAATTGTTGGGTATACCTCCAAGGAGACACCTGTCCTTTCAAAACCAGGTAGTTTTTCCTTTTATTACAAACATTATTGGAAACTAATTCAGCAAAATAAGATTTTGGCATGTTTATTACAGATTCTGTAGAAAACCCCCAAATTTTGTAAGCTTGGGCAAAATAACATTGACTTGAAGTGGCATTTCTTGACAGAATTAATTTTGTGGAAAGATATAGATATTACCTGAAAATATTTGCTCTACTTACTGAACTATTTTGTTGACATAAATAGGAACTTTGTCTATCCCAGTCTAATAGAAGGTGGAAGAAGACCATTCTTGTCCTTATGCCACTAAGGTCATTCTGACTTCATTCCAGTTCTGTAGTTCTGTGATCTACAAAATTAAACTCTCTGTTTTACAGAGAGAGTGGAGCCATAAGCTTAGCATAGGAATCAACTCTGCTTTGAGCTGTCATTATGTAGTTACCTGAGAGGAGTTGCCGTCCATTCTGAGCATGGAATGGGAATTTGAAAATAGTTCGATTGAATTGGGGAGGACACAGACTAGAAAGATGAACAGTTTATCATTTCTCCTCCTTGACAGATCTCCACACTGCCATCACTATTTTGTTAAGTGCTGTGGAAACATCATAAAAGCAATTGAACTAAGAGCTGGCAGGAACCTCAAAGAACAACCAGTCCAACCTCAACGCAACCAAGAATCCTTCCAATAAGACAAGCAGTCACCCACTTTTGTGTAAAGACCTACAATGAGTGGAAACCCCACAAATCCCTAGCATAGCCCAATTGCTATGAAGTCCTTTCTCACATTAAGCTGAAATTTGCCCTTCTACAATTTCCAACCCTTGTTCCTAGTTCTGTCCTCTCAAATCAAGCTGAGCAAGGTCAATTCCCCTTCCACTTCATAGCCTTTCAGACTATCAATTATCATGCCTCCCCTAAAGTCTTCTCTTCTCTGGGCTAAATGTTTTCCACTGGCTTCCCCCAACCCTTATGGCATATTCTCCAAGCTTCTGACCATCCTACTGATATTTCTCAGGGCATCCTTTAGTTTTCTTTTTCTTCCTGAAAATATGGTGCCCCAAACTGAACACAATATCTTATGTGTGCCCTCACTAAGACAGAGTACTCTAGAAGTTACCTTGTTTTGGAAACTATCCCTCTTTTAAGGTAACCTAGTTTAATGCATGAGCTATTTTGTCTGCCATGTCAGATATTCTCTCATTAAAATGAAAGTATAACAATAATTCACTTAAAATACAGTCCTTTAAAGTTTGCAAAATATTTTTCTTTTTTAACAACTCTGGGAGGTATGTAGTGCATTGCAAATATTTTTATCCCCATTTTGTAGATGAAGAAACAAGGCTCAAAGAGCTTGACTGATTTGTGCATGGTCAATCAATCAAGCAAACAAGTATTTATTATGTACCTACTTTATTCCAGGTACTCTTCTAGGTTCTGGGAATAGAAAAGGCGAAAGTGATATAGTTCCTTCCTTCAATATAATCTAGCTAAGGCAGACATTATGTCCATACACAGGCATATACAAAATATATACAATATAGACAGTTTCTTCCCTAATTAATTCCCTAGCCCACTCCACACATAAATTATTTCAAATCTTCTCTTCTCAAACTTCCCAAGCCTTCCCTTCTCCCTCTCTTTCAGCTGAGGACCTTGCCTCTTAGATTATTGAGATGTTTAAGACTGTTCAACATGAGCATCTCTACTTTTCTTCATGTTAAAAACCCTTTGACATCATTCCCTACTCTCTCTTCCTTTCTCCTAGTCTCTAACAATGAAGGGGACCTTTACCAAGACCAACCTCTAAATATACCCTTAATTCCATCTTGACCCCTCTTCTCTTCTCTACACTATCTTTTTTGGTAACTTCTATCAGCTTCCATGAGTTTAATTATGGATGGAAAAGAAAGAAGGGAGGAAAGAAGGACTAATATTTATATAGTAGTTACTATGTGCCAGGCACTGTGCTAAGTGATTTATAATTATTATTTCATTTGTTCCTCACAACAACCTTGGGAGGTAGGTGCTATTATTATCCCCGTTTTACAGACAAGGAAACTGAGTCAAATAACAGTTAAGTGACTTGCGCAGAGTCACAAACTTGATAAGTGTCTGAGGCCAGATTAGAACTCAGGTCTTCCTGCCTCCAGGCCTGGCACTTTATCCACTCCACCAACTAGCTGCTCCATATTGTTTATATGCCAGTGACTCACATATCTATACACCCAGCCCCAGTCTTTGCACTTCAATTCTGCAACACCAATTGCTTATTGGACATTCAAAACTAGATAGATACTTTGGTGTTTTGATTGCCTGTATTTGTTTTATTGGGGGGGGTATTTAAGTTGGGAAAGTAATTGGGATGTGACTAATGAAAAAGCAGCATCAAAAATATTTTAAAACAAAAACAAAACAAAACAAAACTTTGCTTAATCTTCAATTATTCAAGTTTATTTACAATTTCACAACAGGCCCATTGATTTATCCACTGCACCACCAGCTGCCTCCTCTTCTTAACAAAAAAAAAAAAATTTGGAGGTCTTATCACTCTGCAAATTTGGAAGAAGTGTAGCTTAGTGGGTTAGAGGGCTAGCTTCAGAGTTGGAGGTTTTTGTTTGTTTATTGGAACTCAGAAGAGAGATCAGGGAGACTACTGGTTTTAGAATCTGGAGAAAACTGAGTTGAGATTCTAACTTCCAACAGTTGTTGGCTATGTCCAGGAATAAGTCACTTGACCTCTTTCCTAATCTGTAAAATGAGTTTCATAATCGGAGTTATTTAATCTGTAAAATGGGGATAATAATACTAGGATTACTGGAACATTGTAAGGATCAAATTGAGATAATATGTATAAATTGCATTGTAAACCCTAAAATAAAATTAAAATGTCAGCTATTATTGCCACTGTTTTACAGACGAAAAACCAGAGGTTCAAATTAAATTATTTGCCCAAGGTCACAATTCTAGTAAGTTCTAGACCTGGGACTTAAATCTAACCAGTTCTTATAAATCCAGTGTTCTTCCTGTTTCATCACCTCACCTCTCAAAAACATACATAAGGGAAAAGAAATGCCTCCCTAAATTATTGTTCCTCTGATCCATTTCTGAACATTTTAATTCTTCCATGTACCCCTCGTTTCAGTGGCTTCCTTCTGACTTAAAGAACATGAGTAGACTCTGGGGGAATTCTCACTTTTTTAGCTTGTTCCTACCTCAGATGGTTGTTTTGAGGATCCAGTGACGTTATGGACATAAAGTGCTTTGTAATACTTCAAATGCTATATAAATGTCCACTATTATTAATATCATTATAGTTATTGTTTTTTAAAATAATAGTATTAGAGAAACTTAGTGTGGAAATTAGCCACATGAAGATTATAGTTCAAGTGGATGAGCCTACCAAGGATAAGAAGAGAGAGAAGAAAAAGTGGACTGATTCATACACCGTTAATTATGTTATTGGAAGGCTTTTCATGATTTGGGGAAGAAGGGAAAGGGAATAAGCATTTACTCAGCACCTACTATGTGCCAGGCCTGTGCTAAATACTTTTTTATAAATATTATCTCATTTGATCTTCACAATCCTGCAAGTTAAATGCTATTATCATCCTCATTTTACAGTTGAGGAGACCAAGGCAGACAGAGGTTAAGTGACTTGTCTGGGGTCACACAGCTAGTAAGTGTCTGAGGCTGGATTTGAAATCGAACCCACCTGACTACAGGCCCATCGATTTATCCACTGCACCACCAGCTGCCTCCTCTTCTTAAAAAAAAAAAAAATTGGAGGTCTTATCACTCTGCAAATTTGGAAGAAGTGTAGTGTAGTGGTTAGAGGGCCAGCTTCAGAGTCAGGAAGATCTGGGTTCAAAATCTATCTCTGAAACATTGTCTGTATAACCATGGACAAGTCATTTTTCAGTACTCTAGGCAACTATTCTCCTGAGACTGTAAGTAGTAGAGATGATGCTAGCCTGTATTAGTATCCTTCTTGGGAGTTCTGTATCCCAGTAAAATTGTAGGTCCAGTACCATCCATCCATCATTGTTCCTATGAGCATCTTGGTGCATCTGATCCAGAAAGAAAAAAATGACTTGGATGCAGTTTGAAAACTTAATAATCAATATTCACTTTGTTTCCTTTTTCAGGAAAATATTTAATATTTGAAGATGAAATCCCTTCCTTGCAGATCCAAGTGGATAAGCTGAAAACATATGGAGTGAACAAAATTATTGCCTTGGGCCACTCAGGTTTTGAAATGGATAAGCTCATTGCTCAAAAGGTGAAAGGTGTGGATGTTGTAGTTGGAGGACACACAAACACGTTTCTCTATACAGGTAATTACTTTGAGAAGATTATATTGACAAGGCCATAAAACAACTTGAGTCATATTTCTTTCATTTGCTAGTTTTTTATTATTATTATTGAAATTCAACTTGTATCAAATGGCCAAATGTACTGTATGCATAATTCTCAGTCAAATGGAAGTTACTAAGCATGCTTCCTTGATGTGACCACAACGGGCAACCCTTCCTAGAGCCACATCTGTATCTTCCCATCATTCTTCCGGTTACATTCTTACAAAACTTCTTACAACAATGTGTTGTTATTCATGACTGTGCCTCACATTCAAGAATGTACCCTTCTCTTTATTTTTGTTAGTTTATAAATTTTAATCTTTTTATTGTTTAATTATTTCCCAATGCATTCCTCCCTTTTCCCCTTCCTAGAGAGCCATTTCTAATACAAGGAGATTTAAAAGAGGGGGGAAAAGCAGCTCAACAAAACTAACCAACATATCTAAAAATTCTGACATTATATGTAGTGTCCCTCACCCCTAGAAAGAGGTTGGTGAAGGTGCCTTCTAAGGCATTTTCTTTGGAATCAAGTTTATTTACAATTTCACAACATTCCATTGATAGTTTTGCTGTTGTTGTTTCCATTCACATACTGTAGTCGTTTGTGTGTGTGCGTGTGTGTGTTTGTGTGTGTGCAATTCCCTTGTTCTGCTTACTTCACTTTGTATCAGTTCGTACAAAACTTCTCATTCCTCTCTTGCTTCTTCATTGGTGCCATCTTTTTTAATTCCTATATTTGAGGTTAATAGTCTTGGTAAGAATGGATGAAACATTCTTATGGCCAGCTTCTACTAGTAAGAATACAGATCTGGAATCTCAGAAAGAAACTTAAAGGTTATATAGTCCAAACACCAACCCACCAAGTGTAGGAACACTTTTTACAATATCCATTGGATAAGTGACATCCAGACTCTGTTTGAATACTCAAAGCAAAGTGAAAGTAACTATGCCAAAAAGCAGTCCAATTCTGCTGCTGCACAACTGTTAGAAAATTTCTTGCAGAGAAATTTGTGTAATGGAGATGAAACATCTCCTTGCAACTTCTCAAACTTTCACTGTTTATTTTGACACCAACTGCTTCTCCCATGGAGACTGTTGCTCTCTACAAAGCAAAAAGTCAGGGTGGGGACCTGAGGAAAATGGCTCCTGAACTTGGCTGAAACAAAAGCCATTAAAGCCATTAAAGCCATTAAAAACAAAGCCATTGCAGAAATATTTAATAGAATGTGAAAGGAAATTAGTGCTAACCTTATATTACTGGTCTCCCCGCAATCCCTAAAGCAGGTAGTGCTCCCGGAGTACTTGTGTTTGAATTTCATATCATGAAGGAAATGAGAGATTCTATGAAATCATAGACTTGATTTTATATATTACATATACACAACTAAGACATGACCCAGGCTACAGTGTATTAGCATCCAAAGGAAACTCACTTCATTTATTCAAATGTCACAGAAGCCATTCTTATTACAGCTGGAACCCTGTTTCCATACCCACTGATTTTGTTTCCTCTATCCAAAAAGTTGTTCCTTAAACATGATGGCTGGTTGCTTGACTATCCATGAGGCAGGCATTGTACTGTCATGAATTATTATACAGTCAGGAAAATGAAAAGATTCAGCATCTGTCCCATTTGTTCTAACTTCCATCATTCCATTATCCTTTTATCTCTCTTGCTAAACTAAGGAAATACCACAGAATAGGCTGTGCCTTTTGTTTAATAGCTTTATCTAGTTAAATATTTGGGAATAAGAATTACAAATTACAGACCCATTCTATGGAAAGTGAGTCAAGGAAAAGTCACTTGTTTCATTCTCTGTTATTTACCCAAGATAACTTTATCACAAGACAACACTTGTTCTAGTAAAAGTCTCATTGATTATCAAATCCATCAACAGTTGACACCCCAGAGTTCAGATATTTGTCCTCAGGAGATGATAATTTAGTAATTAAGGTTGAACTAACTGGTATATGTGGATTGAGGTCAGAGATAGCAACAGTGTTAGTTCATTTTATTCTAATGCGGAACCAGAAAAACAATACCATTTCCATAATCCCAGCATTCAAATGAGCATTGTACTTATTTTTACCTTTCCAATTCTCAGACCCTTAAACCCACTGAATCCGTTTCTCCCTCCTGACCCAAATATTCAACATGCTTCCAGATAATTTCATTTCCATCTGCTGTATTTGTGCAAATAACCCAGGCAACTAGTCAGTATTTTCCCTTTATGTGGGAAGTGGGCTTATGGCATTGTCATAAGATCACATGTGCATGTTTAAAAGCTACAGCCAGAGGACTAAGGATTGGAATAGATATTCCTTTGAAGAAGTTAAATCCAAGGGCAAGCTAGGTGGTGCAGTGGATAGAACACCAGCCCTGACGTCAGGAGAACCTGAGTTCAAATCCAACCTCAGACCAAACACTTGACACTTACTAGCGGTGTGACCCTGGCTGGGCAAGTAACCCCAATTGCCTTTAAAAAAAAGAAAAAAAAAAGAAGTTAAATCCAAGAGAGAGGCTTGAGTATTTGTTGTGGTTTAGGGGTGCTAGGAACCCCGAAATGCAAAGGTACAGGGCAGGAGTCTTCCTGGAAAGAATTCATCTGCTCAAGTCTTCTTTTAATCCAAGTAGTGAGGTGGGGTGGGTGAGATTCCTAGTGAGTCTGCACTATTTTGGGGGCCAAAACACCCTCAGATTTGAGCATTTGATGAGGATAAAATTGGTACTTTTATACAGAAAGAGGTGAGAAAATCTGGATGGGATCAAGGAGTGGCAAATAGCCTGGGGTGGTCTGGAGGTAACCCAGAAAGGGAGCTGGATGGGATTAAGGAGTGTCAAGCTGATTAAGTGATCAAGGTGGGCTGGGGTGGGCCAGATACTTGACTGCCAGAGATCTGGGTTGCTGAAATGTATGGGAAAGTTCAAGGACTTTTAGGGATCCATTATCAAGGCTCCATCATGTTTACCATTAAAAAAAAAATGGCACAGAACAAGTTGGATCTTGGTGCAGTTAAGTTATACAAGAGAATTCCTTTTTTGGTCTTTCACTTGATGAGCATATACTTAAAAGGTAGTCTTGCTTTGACTTCTTTTTTCTCCCCTTCTCCAGATGGTAACTGAATTTCAGTGTTTACAACTGAATCTTCCACCTTACCTCCTTTTGTCATTTATGGGTCCAAACTCTGTAAAGCTCTAGCACTTAACATCTGCTTACCTGCCTGAAAGACAGATTACACGAGTTTATATTTCTATAGCATGTTAAGATTTGCAAATCCTTTTACACAATAATAACTCATGTTTATATAGCACTTTGTAATTTGTAAAGAGCTTTGCAAAGATTATTTCATTTGAACCTCATAACAATCTGTAAGGTGGCTACTTTTAGAGTCTCCATTTTACAAGTTAGGAAATGTCCTTTCCTAGGAGTTCCCTGTACCACTGAAGTCATAGCTACAATCCCTAACCCTCCTACCCTACATATAAAGAAATTTAGGCTCAGAGAGTCACACCTGCCTAATACTAATTCTAAGTCCAATACTTTATCCACTCTACTGTACAGCCTGTAGAAGGGGCTTTAAATCCTAAAAATTGTCCAGGGATTCAATAAGCACATTTTAGAAAATTGTGGTTAAAAATAAAGGCATTTAAAAAGACTTTCCTCTCCTAAGACTAACATTTATATCATTGCAAAGCAGAAGGTAAGTTGTCAGATGCTACTTAGAAAACCAACACTAAGAATTAAATCCCTTTTCTGGGCATTTGTTGAAGCTGCCACTGATTTCTAAAAAGATCTCTGGCAACTTTCCCTGAGGGTGATCTTGTGTGTCCTGCCCTAGAATAAAAGTGAGATTGTTTGTGTGCCTGGTGAAATAATAGAAAGGGCCTAAGAGGCACTTCAGGAAACACTAAATAGCCTGGTTTTATTTTCTCTCTTCCACTACCTAGAGACCTAGAGAGAAAATTTTCTTCTCTGGTACAATTTTGAATGTTTCCATGTGCTCTAGAAGGAGATGACATTCCTGAGTTATATCCTATTACATGTAATTAAAAAATTTATTGAATCATATTTATTCAAAGGAAACCAATTTTCTTTGCTTCTGGACTGGATTAGAACAGGTGAAATTTTCAAATGTTCTGTCTGATTTATCAAGCATAAGCACTAACTACCTCTAATGCTGTGACTTTGGACAAATCCCTTAATTTCCCTGGGTTTTAGCATACTGTCAATAAAGTGAGATGGTTAGACTAGATGGCCTCAGAAGTCTCTTATATCTCTAGATATGTGATCCTGTAAAAATAAATTTAATGAGGATAGGATTCCTTACTTAGGATAAATGATTTGTTTTAACAGAGTCATAAGCAGGTCCCTAATTAATGAATTCATTATTATTCATCACTGGCCAGCATCATTCTATAGAATATGACAGATGACATATTTCTCACTCTACTATACTGGAAATATAAGATAAAATATTTTAAATGCGTTAGAATAATGTTTTTCAATTAATAATCTTTCAGGTGATTCTTACCCTGAAGTTTGACTAAAGGGACAGATGTTGCTTTGTATAGTGTGTTGAGAAAAGCACTTGATTTGTAGTCAAAGATTTGATTGTGTTTTTGAGTCTTGTTTCAGCAAGGTTTTTTGTTGCTGTTGTTTTTTACCTTTAATTTGATCTCTGTAAACCTCTGTTTGCTCATCTGTAAAATGACTGCATTTACCTTCTTTACAAGTGTGTGGTGAGCAAAGCTATTTAAATGTGTTATTCATAGTACAAGCTCAGTAATTGTCTGTCTTAACTCTCTGTCCCTCAAGGTCTAGCCTGTCTAAATATAGAGAGCTTCCTTACCTGGGTGATAAATATTTTGGCCACAGCAACTCTCAAAAGACCATCTATTGAGTAATATAGGATTACAATCTCTGGTGGATAGGCTACCCACAATGGTCAAATCCCATATATTGACTAGTATTCTTAGA